CATGTAAAAGTATTGCATCTCTTTACATAAATCTCTCTCTGTCTAGTGACAACAAACGCATACGTTTAGTCAGAGCCGAATAATACTATTACGGTTGTTAACGAGGATGTATATTTTGTCGAGAGTACCTTAAAACTGTTACGTCTAGAGAAAATCTTTGTTATACTTATACCAAGTTCGATGTTCATGTTCCACGCATACCGGAAATATTTGTTTGTTTTAGAACAAATTACAAGTTTCAGGAAGTTAAAAGTTAAACATGAATTCCGTTCTTGGTATAAAAAAGAAAATATATATATATATATATAATAATAATAAGATAGATTCGCTCCAAGCATGACCTGAGTGACGTACGTTCACGTTATAAAGTTTTAAATGTACACTATTGTGATATATTGTGTCGAAATATATTTTTCAAAGAATTGTTATGTCCATTTCTGTGAACAAGTTATTTTGAATCTTTGCTAGAATCGAATAACAGATCTGGAATAATAATAATAATAATTAAAATATTATTCCTGGAAATACGTTATTTAATTTTATCATTATGAACATCCAGAACAATTACTTGTTTCGTATCATTCGTCTTCAGTTATCACAAATTGGTATCCAAGCAATTGGAGAATCAAAAGCAACATGAGCAGGGAAGTTGAGACACAGAACATCAGGGTAGCTAGTGCAATGAAAATGTACCCGAAACTTCTGAGAGTGAATGTAAAGAGACAGACAATCCAGTCCCAAATGGTTTTCAGTATCATTACTTCTATACTTTTTAATTTATCCAAATAATTCGACACAATTCAATATCAAACAGGTATACATAAACGAATTAGAAATCGAAATAAAATTCATGAATATCGAATACGAATGTCAATTGTTATAATTAAATCATAAACGCTTCAAGATACAAGAATATATTCTATATTTATATTTCGTATAGGTACAAAGTTTATCATTTTTATAATTTATAAAAGAGTGAAAATTTTACAATGTAAAAGTATGAACCAGTTTTTTCAGGATCGACCTTGATATTCATACTTTATTCTTCAATATCCGACGATTCAATTTCCACTTGCGGTATTGCAAGGCACTAGTACCGGCTGCGATTTGATTTTCTCTACAGGTTTCACATAGTTCTCCCGTCTATAATGGTAAAATATTTCCGAATTCTTGTTGTATGGTTTCGGGAATGCCCAGTTGATTTTTTCGGCAGCTGAATAGCAGGCGCCAATGGCTGCAGAGACTGTCAAATGGTACAAACTAAGCTCATCTAGAGCATTCGAATCATGAATTTTATTGAGGAAACTATCTTTGATATATATCCACGATTTCCATACAGAACCAACGCAGATTATCTTCAGACCACCGTTGGCTAATTTTAGTGCCTATAAAATATTACTTTTTAATTACAGTGAGACTAAATATAAGATGGGAAATGAATGGCTCTTTGAAGTACAATAGAATCACGCATTTCCTCTCCAATATCTCACATTAAGAAGTTAAATCACCCTCGGAGCCTTTTTTGCTAAAGCCACTACATGTTCAGCAAGTATTTCCCCGGCTTCCTTCATCAGATGTAGACTAAGCAGGTCTTCTTTTTTGCAGCCAGTAACAACTTCCATGGTAAAGTTTGCGAGTTTTGTTTTATTAAAATTAGCGTACCAATGGGGCAGTATTTCTTCCCTACTCGCCACTTTGAAGAAAGTCCTAAGAGCCGGCCATATGTAGCTAATCGGTTTTGGAGCGGGAAATAGACCATCGATATCGTCGAAGACGTATTTGCAGGCTCGATGAGCTATCCAGTAAGCTGAAAATACAATTTTATATGTTATTATCGATGTTTTATTTACCTGCTATCCTTCTTTCAGTACTCACCACTGCCCTCATCCCCTAGCATGTATCCCCAGCCTCCACAGGTGATAGTTTTCCCGTCGTTGGTGATCATCGAAGCGTTACTGCCGGTGCCAGCGATCAGAACGACTCCGCCGTTATCAAAGGCAGTCTTCAGAGCACCCACCGTGTCTGATGCAATAAAATAGTCTTTTGCTGTATTAGGATAATGTTCTCGCATCGCGTTAGCAAGAATACGATTCGATTCCTCCTCCTCGCATCCACTAAGACAGAGCCCCTAGACATTTATACAAAGACACAAATTATACTGTCCGAAAAAGTGCATGTGATCGAGTATTCATCGAGTGGCAAAGATCCCGGCTTATTGTAGAATTTCATATACTAATTTATGTTTGTTTTCATAAAGGCTCGAAACACTTACTAAGGCATCCAAAGGCACCGATTCGGGCATACCTATATTCTCTTTGCCTCTCTGGACCATTGCGGCGATTCTAGCTGCAGTTTCGTCAATCCCCAGAGCCTGAAAAATTCACACATTTTATTGTCGAACTAATGAAAATAATTTGCAATTTTAACTGTAACACATAATTACCCAGTGGTTAGTTTCCGGTCCTTCAACTTCTGTTAGCGGTGTCCCTACACCATCCATAAGTATCAAAGTGGAATGAGAACCACCGCTAAGGGTTGTCAAAGCCAGAACTTTAATTTCTATTCACTAGTTAAAATTCCATAGAATATCGGGTTTTCCATAATTTTTTTAAAGAGAAGAAATAAATTTCACAAATAAACACAAAAATGGTCGGGAATTGAAACAATTGGTCTTCAAGAAAAGTGGTGCATAAAATAATCAAAATCAATTTTTGTTTAGTATCGTCCGATCGGCTTGCAAATAATTGTAATCCGGAATTTAAATTCATAATAAATATACAGTTGCGATAACGACGCCGAGTTAACGTATCAGTGTACTATTAACGGTAGTCATTCATAAGAAGCAAAATAATCAGTGTCTATAAAAACGTCTTGCGTTTGTCTTTTTTTTTCCAATACTAAAATTACAAATCTTTGAATTCCGAAATATGAACGCTGCCTAATGATTAAATTTCTTATTGATTGGCAATGTATATATCAGATGCAGCTGCCTTGTTAATTATAGTTAGGAAACATAATCTTTCCACTCACCCCTCAACTCCGCCGAATCTAATCTCTTTGGCATACTCCGCAGGATCTTTTCCAATCTTCAGTTTATCTTCCATGTCTTCAAAATCTCTCTGACGCGCTTGTGCCCTTAAATTTTTACGAAGCTCATATTCAGTAATCTTCTTTCCCTTTCCCTTTCCTTTTTTCTTTTTTCCTGCCATTTGTCAAGGGGACAACGTCAACTTCTTCCTTCTCGAAGAATTTGATTACATTCTAAGGAACGGGGACAAGGATTTAGGCACCGGATCAAGATAGGAGCCTAATCTGATAACTACGCATTGATACTCAGAAAATCGATTCATTTTCAAAAGATAAATCCACTTGGACTATTGGTCATAACTCTAAGTTATCATAGTTAACCGATTCGTCAGCATATATAGTATATAACCACTTAGATATTGAACGCGAGGCCGATTTTATCTTCATTCACGAAAGGATTCATATTAAGTTTAATAATAGCAGAAGTTTTTCGCGGATATCTCGGAAACTAAGGTCTAAAGAAAAAGTTGTTCAAAATCATGCTCGCAACAACGTATTTAAAAATCATCGAAATTGTCCTTTATTAGTGTATTAGAAATTGGTTCAACATTCATTCTTTTAACTTTAATACGTATGGAGAACCTGCACTCCGTACACCCCCTTGCTATTTCAGTTAGACTTATACATAATCTGGACGAACATTACATCTGGAAGGGATAGATAAATAGTGGGTGGCGGGTTCGAGATTTAAATGCAACTCACGAATGTTTGCAGATAACGTACATGCAAGGTGACTGGTAATATTACAGTAAAAATGAAATACAAACATTCACTTACTATGAAAGTTCGATGATTCTTGGAAGATATTGTAACAAACGTATGTTACGTAGTTATTACTTAATAATCGTATCGTGATATTACCCGTGAAACGTATTTTCACGTGTTTTGATGCAAAAATTCTAATTACGACACTGCAAATCGCAATGAACAGTAAATGTTCACAGATAACCGAGTAGCGATGCCAAACGAAGTTGCCTTTATCACTGCCTGCACAGCAATGTGCCGTAGAGTAGTAGAGGGGGGACTTCAAAACTAGGATTGGATGATATCAATGGGTTCTCTCCACGGTTTCCTTCACTACTCTGCAGCATATAGCAGGCCACCACTGTCATGCCCATGTGACACTGCCAACAACTGTCAGATACTGCTCATTTCACTGTAACAAGTGTCACAGTCTCCCACAATATATTTGTGTAATGTATTTCTAGATGGTGCCACTGTGTCATTCTGATTTATTATTAACAAGACTCTTCTAACGAATGCAACAATTCCAATGGTAACTGAAACTTGGCAGGCAAACATGATTAACATCCTGTTATAACTGGAAGAGAGCAAATAAAAATAAATAACTGAAACGTTTTGACCTAGTTTTTATTTTGATTTCCGCACGAAACGTGGTAATTGACGTGCTGATGAACATGTTGGATACCATATCACAGTTCTAAAATTTCCACAACTCCAAAACAGTTTACTTGAAGAAACTGAAATTGAAAAGTGAAGATTGATTTGGTCAAATATGTACGTTACGACCAGGAACGACAAAGGTTCGTTTGTACTACAAACAATTCTTGTTCTACAAACAATTGTACTGTCTACAATTCAAATCAACCGCCCAAAGAAATACAGTGCAGCGCCGACTAGTTGTCAACAGCCGGACTTCGATCGTTTAAAAACTTGAACGAATCTCTCGTAGATGGCGTCACGGCGACACCGTGGAATCCGCGCGGTGGCGGGCGCGCATTCTCGATGCTCGACATCTCGGCGGCGCTTGGCGAGGCGAGCGAGTTGCATCGAGACGCGCGAGACAGTGGTGCCCGTATGTGTCTCGTTCGGTGGGTCGCCGTCGGCCATTGTCTCTGACATGGAAGCCCATCAAAATGGCAGAGGTCGTGCAGATGTTTTTGTTCCTATATAAATCGAAATACCGTCGGAAAGGGGGCCAGTGCCGTGAGGTGGTACGCGATCAGTGCGGTGTAATCGCGGTGCCGTGGCCGTTACTGTGGGCGGTGCTGATCTGTTGGGTGGTGCACGTAACCGCTGCCGCCTCCTCCTCCTCGTCGTCGCTGACGACGGATACGATCTGCGACACGGAGAGCTGCGTCAACGGCGACTGTGTCAATGGCACCTGTGTCTGCCACGAGGGTTGGCAGGGCACTGCGTGCCAATTCTGCGGCGGAAAAGTCAGGTGAGTCTACGGGAGGTCCGCTTGATAAACGAGCACCATAGATATCCCGGATCAGCAAACAAATGGACCCGGACCGCTCGCGTGTCAGGGGCCTGTACAAGTGTCCAGGAACTACACAATAGGGAATGCACACGGAATTGCGCGCGTCGATACGCCGAGGCAATCACGGTTTTATAGTGTTCCGCCACGGTGCAACGACTCCGAGGATTCCTCCGTTTCTCGCTCGGTCTTCTGTGTGATTCACACGGCGAATGAATATTGTGTCCTCCCCCGTTCAACGGGCACGTAAATAAACGGAGCGTAGCGGCGAGAACGTGCGTGCATGCGGCTTCCTCGGATTTAATTGCTCGTCTATGCGTGTCTCGCGGCCTTTCGAAAAGGGGGGACACCCAGCCCCCGGTCATTGTCTGGGGCCTCGAGTTCACGCTGGGACAGAGAGTTAATCAGGACACTCGCGATTATAACGGTGGATCGGCTAGGTCGTCGCCGTCGTCTGTCACCACCCGGCGTCCGCATTCGCCGGGATTAGATTTTACGCCGGATCGATGAGACAGCCGGCAAACTTGACAGGCAGACCACGGGTCCCGGCACTGTCAAGGGTGGTTATTCGCGCGCCCCTAAGCCAGACACGATTTTCGAATCCCGGCGTCGCGCTTGTGCAATGTTTAGGATAGAAACGTCGTCGCCGCCGCCACGGGCGCCGACACGCTTTCGACAGCCGACGCGTGAAATACGCGTACGTTGCTCCATATTTTTCTTCGGGGTGGGTGGCTACAGATGGAGGATGCACAGTGATTCGAACAGCGATTTTTTCCTGGACGGGATTTGAATTTGTCAAGTTTGAACAGTTGACCGGAAGTGGGGATGTTGTATAATAATGTTGAAATATGTGGTATTCTAAGACTTAATTTATCAGTTTTACGATTCTTAGATTCAACCCTTTGTACTCGGGAAATATGGCAATTATGGTAATTTGAGGAATAACCATTTTTATTTTGTACAATCCGTACGGATTCAATTTTATGCAAAATCCTATTTAAGTTGGAATCATTGTTCCCAACGTAGTAATATTTTATATTTTATTTGAAATATCACTTAATATTTCACGCTCGTTCATGTTGCTGCTAGGTAGTTTAAGAACATTCTCCGAGTGCAAAAGGTTAGTTGAAATATTTGAGTGCTCTTAAATCGACCCTAACTCGTGGAGAAGATTTGGTTGATGTATGAAAGCAATGCGCAAAAATTTTGTTAGACGAATAGTGGCTGAAATATTTATTTAGAATAATTGTTTGATTTGCATGCAGAAAAATGTACAAATGAGCTGTTGGTAATTATGGTAATTATCATTCGTCGTTGGTAATTATTTCCAATAACGGGCAGGTTTCGAAATTCGAAAGGGACAATTATCTTTAATTATGTAGTTAGAAGATGATGAATACTATATTAAAGATAAATTTGTAAATGTATAAATAAAAGGGCGAAATTGAATCGCAAGAACGACGTACACATATTACATATTACAAACTTTTTGAAGTAAGACTCGCGTGTAGAAAATGAATATTTGGTCAGAATAATCTGCATGGAAATGTTCGTAATTTTACAGTTCAGCTGCCGCTTCGCAGTCTACAACAACGCAAACACGTCTTGCTCGCCTCGTGTGCGGGATGCAGCATTTTCACGATGACGAGCGTACGTCATCGTTTGACATTTTACGACGCGGCTGATAAGAGGCGTTTGTACATGTAGCACATGCGAGATATGTATTCTTAAACGTCACAGGTCTAAAGATTCAGGTTATTGCATTACCTTAACTGTAAAATAAGATTCCTTGAAATACAGCCTTTTCTAACAATTAACTCCCGCAGCGTGTTACGTTGTAGAAACGCTTCGCAAAATTAGAAGGATCGTTCGTTCGGATCAAGATGAAATCTGTAAGATTCGCCCACGCGACCATTCGATTGCATTCCATTGATAAATGTAGTTAAATGTCGGTGTGCGCCGTGCACGAAACAGGATGCGATTGTAACCGCTGATGTTGCTCGAACGTCGACCGATCCGGGATCTTAGAATCACGAGCTTAACCCGGATTCGTCACGGTGGAAGAAGAAGTCGTTTGAAATTTTCAACGTGTACTCGCGAATAATTGATGCTGGAAATAATCGCGCCTCCGGGGATCCGCATTAACGCGAACTTACGGCCGCGAACAAAACACTGAGACGAGAGGGGGCGCGTCTTCGCTATAGAATATACAGGGTGTCGTATTTCGGGTACAGAATTTCTTTGTGCAATCTTTTGGGTCAAGAAATATTATATTTAACCCTTCTACCGTGTTCAAATAAAACTTGCACTAATGGTGTTCGAGTCACATAGACCAGTTTAAATAAATATGGGAATAGGATATAGATATAGGATATAGATAATTAATATGAAAATGCAAAAGAAAGTACAAATTGATTTGTACAATTCGATTTTGACTCCCATAGGGTGGTAATTGAAAACACTATACAAGCCTCATTGTCTGGCTCATTTAAGATCAAAACGCCGTGGAAGAGTTCAAAACTGTGGACGTCATTTATTTTCAAAAATGTGGATTTGTATTTTTGTTGTTACATCATTGCTATTTTATTTCTGATCCAGAAATTCCATTGTTCTGGTATTACCGAAACGTCGGTCTACTCTTCGACCAGGTTTTAGAGACTGTAATTTCATTTTTATTGATATAAATAAAATTTGATCAAAATTTAAATAGTGCAGAATAGTTCAAGGAATAATCTAGATATCGCGGATTTCTAAACAAAATAAAAATATTATGCATTAGTTGCAAGAAACAGGAACTGCATAAATTCCCGTTTTGAATAATTTGAACGAGTCGCAAGCGATATAATCAAATCGTTAAATTCATCTAATAGTGTCACTGTTTTGTGCTTCATCTACTTATTTTTGTTCTAAATGATTAAATTAAATCCACAGTCCAGTCATTATTCGGATTTCGTGAAAGTGTGCTTCCGTGTTCAATGAATGATGCATAATGATGGGAATTTGCATGAAGATTCACAGTCTACTAATTCGAAATCAAAAAACGCACGAACGACCGGCAACCGTTCTACCTGACGACGCTTTTAATCGCGTCCGGTTCGCATAAGTTTGCTCATCCGAAATGTAAACACGATGCAGGCCGCGGGGCGCGATGGTCAATGAGCGGTGACGCGACAATGTTGATTCGTTAGTCCGTTCCCCTCTCCCTCTCCAAGTTCCAATTTGATGGCCGCTAATTATAAGGCAGAGCCGTACACGCGGGTTTTTGTTTGCCCGCGTTTCGCACCTGTGCAGACCGCCCCCCCCCACCCCGTCTATTATTCACCGGCCTAATAAACGATCAAAGCGGCCTTTGAATTCTGCTTATTAATTCCCATTCCGGTCCGCCTCGTATCTGGAACTATGGCGGTCCGCTGACCATGGAATTCCTGTATGCCTGCTGGCTATACATGGTGTCCCTGATATGCGACTGCATTACACTGCACTCGGAGATGCTCTATCCCATTTGATGGTGTCGCAAACGTACGAACATTCGTTGAATTCGTTGACAACGATCAGTAATTCAAAGGAATCTTGGCAGCACGTTTGTTGACGTTCTGTAAATCAAGCGCGGTGAAAGTTCATTGCTAGGCTGGCCGCACGTGGCTAATATTGTTTCAACCAACTGAAATACATTCTGATCTTCAAACCGATATCTTCGAATTCGTTGGACCTTTTCATTGTACTGAGATCCGCGTGCTAAACTCTTCTATAGAGTTAGATTGTGGACACTATAATTGCGGAAACAGTGTCTTTACAATTTAAACTTACGATGTATGCATCGTCGGATTTTTATATTTATCAAAACACATAACACGTGGCACTCTTACAACATTCTGGGTGCATCGTGACGTTAGACTGAAAATTTTGTGGATTTACGAGAAGCATGGATTTAGAAAACATAAAACAGTGAATATGTCGAAAGAATTTAATATGAAACCTATCAGAATTGTTGGAACAGTGGAAACACTATCGTAGGAAACAATTGAATAAATTTCTTAAGTCGAACGTATATTATGATAAAAATGGCGAAGGGTTCAAATGAATTTTGTCTTATTACCTCTAGAAAGTAACACGTGCCAGTCTAACTTTGAAGTCAAGACTTGAACTCAACTCTTTGAAGTTGCCCCTTTGAAGTTCGAATTGAACATGCTTCTCTTAATTGCCTGAAGAAATTGCAATTTTGCGTAGAGATCCGCAGTCTGTCAACGACAAATGTTGGAATACCGTCGCGAGTCAGCGCAGTTTCGAGATGGCAGCGATGAATGGCTTCACGCGGCGTCGATTGTCAAGGGTAACGACGTTTCGTCGCACGGCCGCGAGCAACCGCGACCGGTCCGTTTATTCATTATCCCGTTATAGCATTTGATATCAGCTAGACGACTGTGACACTGTTTGCTGGTTCCCAGGCCGCGATTCGATACGGACGCGCGTCGGGATAACCGAATCGATAACCGGCGAACGCGCTAAGGCCGTCCTCGCGTTCACCTTATCATAGGATTAATTACCGTGATTATGGGTGTAATCACTCTTCCGCGCCAATTGGATCTGTTTAAGCCGGGATTAATGAGCATTCACGAGAGCTTTGCGCCTCCCTTCCGACGACGCCTGCAGAATTTATGAACGCTGCGAGAGAAACGATTCTACCCTTGATTATTGTTTTACTCGATATTTTACCGTCTCGATTTATTTCCTGTTCGATGAATTCGCATAACGTCGCACGAACACACTTGGCCGCGTCTGATCACCGCACGTTGCTCCGTGGAGCACTGTCTTGGCCCTGGGAGCTACACGAAGCCATTAGGCCACGCCTACTCTGGGCGTTTCACTCAGAAATGGGGCAGACTACTCGCAAAATCATGGTACACTCGAACCACAAGTTATTGTAACTCTGTGAAAAAATAACTTAAAATACTATGACTGTA